CTGCGCCGCCGGCCACTGCTGCCAGGTTGGCCCACCTTAGTGGGAGGGTAGAGGGATTTATGTAAGGGCTCCAAATAACGTCCTAAACCCTAGGCCCCAAACCCTAAACCCTAAACCCCCTAAACCCCCTAAACTCTCTAAACCCCCTAAACCCCCTAAACCCCCTAAACCCTAAACCCTAAACCCTAAACCCTAAACCGGTGGTGGTGGTGCGCGAGGGGATCAGGTCGGGTTGATACTCCCCTTGCGGGCACAGCTGCATCTGGAAGGTCTAGATCTTTCACTGCTAGCCAGTCACCAAAAAACCCAGGAAGAGCCCCCTCTGCTAGCTCAGCAGGCAAGCTGCTCATGAAGTACCACATGCGGCGAGCCTGGCCTGGTGTGAAGGAGCAGCGACATGCATCATCGGAGCTGTCCATGTAATTGTGCACTGGATCCCCGGAGCCACAGCTCTGTCGCCAGCTGCAGTTTCCCAAGTTGGGAGATTCTTCCAGGGCCGTGTCGTTCACGAAATCCCCTTCAACTGTCTGGTCGCAGCCATTCTCAGAGGTGTTTCGGAGACCCAGGTAGTGTCCCATCATGCGGGTGAGCGTCTTTCCCTGAGCGTAGGCTGAAAGCTGCCCGCCGGTAAGGGCCCCGGGATCCACAGCCACTGCGCGATAGTCATCATTGAAGGTAGGTCGGTTGGCATAGGGCGAACCAGGGAGTCCTGCCACTCCCAGGAATCCCCGGGCCTCGAGTGAACAAATCACCACCTTGATCTTTCCATTCTCTCGTGCCAGTGGCCAGGGCTATGAGGGCAAGGTTTGAAGGGGCTTCTGCTCCCGGCGTTGCAGGCTTCTGGTTCAACGCTCATGCGCAGAAAACACTGAAGCCGTGCAATCCCATGAGACTTTATACCAGCAGGTGGAGCCGTGTTGTGTTCCTAGACGGTAATCAGAAATTTCACTCTGCCACGATCCGACGGAAGATATATTGAGCATGGACCCGGTTCTACTGTTCGGACTCATCCATGTGAATAAAATCTGCCACCAAGGCACAGATTGGGCGGGACATTGTCGGGTGCAGGCACTCCACACACGGAGCACTTACTGTCCACGATGGTGGTGATGCCCTCCAACCAAAATTGGATCTGAACGTCGGCCTGCGCAACCTGGCCAAGTCTATTTATGAGGAGGCACTCCATAGAAAGGACTCGTAATGCCATTAGCTTCCAAATTACCAATTCACACGAAGCCTCCATTAGCTTTGGGGCCCTTTTTAGAGTCCCGAGCGCCCCCTCCCAGAGCCTCGTAGAAAGGGTCGATTTGGCAAACTTCTTGACCACTAAAGTCTCGGTTCAGCTGGCGAATTTGATCAGACAGCATCTGCGAAGTCACCTCAAGTTCCGGGCAAGGGTCTGGTACGACTGCAAGCTTTGGAAAGGTTTCGGGTGTAGGGGTTGGGCCTTTAGGGTTTAGGGTCTAGGCTGTCAGAAGCAGAAAGCATGTTCAAAGTCTGTACTCAACACAGTCTGGGTCGCTTGACTGGAGACATTCACACCACCATTCGCATGATCATCGCAGAAATAGAAATGGACGGGGATCGTCCACGCAAAACTAGTTGGAGGGCCGGTTGCATCCGGAACAATTGACTCCACCGTTTGGCACTCCTCAGAATAGACGAAGCAGTGCACTTCGCCAACTACGTTGCGGGTGCCAGGAATGTGAACAGCAGAATGAAAACACACAGACAAGCAGACAAGCAATTGCATACGTCCCTCACTCGTCCCTCTCCTCCAGCGCAAAAATGAAGTCAGATTCTTTTCGCCCGCATTCTGCATGGCAAGCATTGAACCTGGATAGTGGCTGTAGGAACAGCAATCCAGACTGTTCCTGAGTAGTTACGCCTGATAGAAGAACACTGATATACACGAAAGTGCCATGCATGCACAAGCTGGGGGTTGTTTGGGGGAGTTAGCTGGAAAGGTGCCATGGTTTCAGAATACCAGTATGCAGTAGCAGTAGCATTAGCAGTAGCACTTGCGACAGTAGTTTATTATGGGCATTAGCAGATTAGCAGCAGCAGTGGAGTGGGAGTCGGAGCAGGTCGTCGTCGTCGTCGTGGCAGTCGCAGTCGTAGCGGTAATGCTAGTGGTGGAACTGGTTGTAGCGGTGCTCATAGTGTTCCCACACTGTGTGCGCATACAAGCACTCCACAAAGCGTATTAACGCTCGAAATAAATATGAACCTTACAGACCTTACACTAAAGGGCCTGGAAGGCACGCCGCAGGACCACAGGTGATGGGGGTGTACCGAAAATGACGATTACTCCTTGGGGCTGTGGGTAGCGAATGAAAGCGCAAATGCCTTCACCAGATCTCACGCCTTCCACACATGCGAAACACAACCACAAACACAAGCCAAACCATGGCACCACGGGTGGCAGACTTCGCAGGTGAATTGCGATTCATCCTCGCAATTGGAACAGTCGCACCTTAGCTCCGATCATGCAAAAAGTCATATCACTGCTTGACCAATTGCCACTGCAAATACATTCCATGGGTACGAGAATTCTTGGTGTCCTTACAAGTGGCTCAGAGTGCGCGAAAGTCCAGTTCAAGCTGCGCAGACAGAGACATCCGGCTGCGACGACTGTTCATAATGTTTAATCGGATGGCGTTCTTCAGGTGGTTCAACTTTGGTCAACAGCCATTCGATCAGTGTAATGATAACTGCCATTGCTTCTATGACCTTTGCAGGTATCGTGACTTCTTACTGGTTGCATGTTGCTGTATGGCTTTTCCATTCTTTCAGCGGGCAAACGAGGGCTGAGAATTCGACACTGCAGCTCTCTTGTGGAAGTGTTGATCTTGTTTGTCAGCAGGAACCCTTCACTCTTGCTTATCATTTAAACACTGTGTTTGATCCCCTACTCGTCCTCATCCTTGCATTCGGTTAGCGGACCTGCGTGTTTTCAGTTGTACCAGACAAGCCCTTTCACATTTAGATCATGCCAGTGGCTTGTTGTTGTCGACCTTGCCCGCCGGGATGACGCAGCCGTCATTGCAGGTGAAGTTCTGCCGGAGTAGAAAGCAATCTGCTGGGCTGTCGGTGCACAAGTTTGGGCAGCCACCGCATGATTCGCAGCTTAGCCCGGGTTCATCCTCGCATTGCTCACAGTCGCATTTCCCGTCCGACTGCCTTGAAAGGTCGATGTCGCAGCCTGAAAAGCGACACTTGTAACTCTGCTTCGAGAGCTGGCTGTCGCTGGCCAGCAAATTCGCAGCTTTTGCCGCCGCCTTCTTTGCCGCCTTTTTCACTTGGAGGCCTCCTTGGTGCTCGGGAGCATCCAGATGAAAACTTGGCATGCTTCCGCTCGGATCCAGCTCCTCGTGGTACTCGCCCAATAGAATGCCAATCGTGAAGATCTCATTGTTGCCTTAGAAGTGACATGGTTTCATGTAAACAAGGGTTTTAGGCCGGGGAATGCCGGGGATATCAAATCATTAGAAGACCCGAGATGCGGCCGGGGTGCCCAAGCGAGTGGAGGAGACTTTCTGCCAGGGCGAACACACGGTGCCCACGCGCAGGCCGCCAGCACAACCTTGGTAGCTGAAGCCTCTCAAGGTGGTCACGCGCTTGGGAAAGAAGAAGCCCTTCACCAGCTTCAGCGCGAAGTACGGGTCCATCTGCTTCTGGCCATGGCTTCTCAGGAATTTGCCGAGAAGGTCGTCGGTTGGGAAAGCGAAGCAGCCGGAAGCCAAGTTTGGCAAATCTTCGATCGGGAGCAGACCGCAGATATACTGCACGAGGTGCTTGGAGTGCTGCATCTTCGCACTCTGCCCGACGGCACCTGCGATGCTGTCACAGAGCTCCTTGGTCGAGCTCCTTCCCAAAGCTTCGCGGCTTGTGATCTGAAGCATGGCATTCAGATCTCTGGAAGAGTTCTGGCTGAGACGCCCAGGAAGGTCAGCAGGGTCCTCGCAAGCACCGGGTGCCGCATACGACGCAAAAGCAGTGGGTTAAGAGCGCTGTGGCGTTGCAATCTGCTGCTGTGCCATCGCCACGACGGCCAGGATGGCCACTAGCATGAGAATTGTGCTGGCTGCGTGCTCTCTGTGACGCAACCTATTGTAGCAGTAGTAACTTTTGCGACGCGAGAACCCTTGCGGGGCAGGGCGGTTCGGGGCTCCGATGCAGGGGAAGGACCTCCCTCCAAGGGCCCCGGTTGGTGTCGGCATACATTTGCAACGAAGATGTACACAAAGATGCAGCTGACTTGGTTTGCATATGGCCGACAGTCACTTCTATACACTCTCGATGTGTTCTCCGCGAGTACATGTGGCAGCTTCCCGGTCTCAGTTTCGCTTCCAAGAAGTACGTGCACAAAACATTGCCGGGAGGATTTCAGGACTAGCTTCTGCAGGTTGTCGGGCGTTCAGACCTTCTGGTCTGATCTAACCCCATGTCAAGACAGATGTGTAGCGGCTGTACTTGCGGTGACAACCTGATTGGATTGCAGTGGGATTGTCCGCGATGGAGAGGCAATGAGTACTAGGGACATGAAAGACTTCGAAATCATGGTATTGTAAATTGTAAAGAGCCTTGGAAATTCGGCTGAGATGTAAGAGGGTAGCAGGGTATTGCGACTGGCCAGCTCTTGCCAGTGTCGGTAGACGCATTGAAGCCTATCTCGACGCGGACGAGGGGACAGCCAGGTTCAACGATTCAAAGGGCTCGATTCTTGTACTGAGATCGGTAAGTCAAGGATAGCGCCCCGTCCCCACCCCCCTTCCAAACACGTGACAGAACAGTGTGCCCTCCATACACATGACGGCTGTCGTTTTGACAAATGTGGACAACACGGAGATGGTAGTGAGTTTTTGCATTCTGCACGCATCTTGCTACTAGGACGGGCCACCATTCTGACACCATTCTTGCGATTGATCACCCAACACCAACAAAGATGGAGATATTGACCTGTCATGAAGCTGTTGGCCTTAGCCGAGATGAAGCAAGCGGTGTCGAACGCAATTTGTCACAAACTGCTGTTGTTGACAAGCCATGCGGATTAATGCATAAGAATGGGAGCTCCGCGCGAAAACGCCCTGTAATGTTGCAAGCAACAACATCATTGAGAGGACTGTCGGCTTTGCGGTGCGACAAATCCGAACAAAACATGCCGTTATATCCGTTATATGATATTCGTCATTGTCGGAAAACAGAACCAGGCATGCAAAGCACTGGGATTGTCAGCAATTGCGGGGCGGCGGAACGGCGCCGCCAAGTGCTCGTTTGCAGATGGGGATGGGGAGCAGGAGTCAGCAGGAGGGAGAGAGAGAGAGAGAGAGAGAGGAAGCCCAACACTGGCTTTCCCCAACATGGCTGTGGTTGCGTCGACAGTATTCTGAGCAATAAGACGTTCCCGCCGTACTAGCAACATGAGCAACTGCATGCTCTGAACTGGCCTGGCGATTCCGCACCGAGGGGCACACGCCATCCTTCGGCTAGGGTTTGGGTGCAGCGCAGGGCCACAGGCAAACGCTACACCCCGCTGCGTGCCATACGATCCCAAACAACGCCAAGTGATTCAACAGTCACTCGAGCTTGTTGCGAGTTGTTCGGGTGAACATGTAAGGCTGAAGCCTTAAAGCCGTAAGTGCCTAAGGCTAAGGCTCACAGTTTAGGTCTTGATTTTGAGGGTTGCGGAGCACATAGCATCACTCCACAAGCCAGCAGAAAGCAGTTTCGCAGACCAAACCTTTGTCCAGAACTTTCGCTTTAAAGGCATTGCAGCCCTGATGTTCACAGCTCGGAAACCCGAAACAAAGTAGGAGGAACCGCAGGGATATCAATGGGAGTAGCTGCCGAAGAAACCAAACACAGCTTTGTCCGGAATTCAGGACAATCAAAAAGAGCAAAAGCCATGACTACATAAGACTCATATAAACATATGATACCCGCATGAAGGTATGTTGTTCTTGCACCTTCGCAGAGGCTCCACATATTGTATACCAACAGCCAGAAAATTCTTGGGACTGGTCCTGGCCAGACTGGAAAACAAGAACCAAACCCACACAACCATATTTATGGAACCAGTCCCTTTGATTTCCATATTCTATGGACCGTAAACTGCCTTTGCTATTCGGAGAGCTATGGCACCAATAGTGCTCCACATTGCGCTATCATTCCGATGTGCGCCCTATGTAGGCCATGCGAGCTTTGTTCACATAGGAATGTCAACTTCGACGATTGGAACAAAGCCCGGCTAAAACTCCTTGCCGGGCTAGTTCGGATTTATATGACGTCTAGATGGCCCGAAACGTCCTTGCCGCTGTACGTTTATGAAGCCTTGTGGACAATATCTGTAAAGCGACTCTAGTTCAATCTTTCTTGGAAACCATTCGAAGAAAGAGACGTTTCTGCAGTACTTAGAAGGAGGATTCATTCTGAAAAAATGTCTGATAGCACAAGATCACTTGTCAGCAAGTCTGTGCGGTTGCTGGTTTTCTTAGTTGTGTGGGCCAAGGGCTTTCTTCGGTGTACCAGTAGGATTGACGGTCTTATGCGAAGGCATGAGTGTGTTGGCTTCTTGGAATCAAAGAAGATCCGTTGCATATCTTGTACTTAGAGTCATTGCACAGGAAGTGATAGCTGCTATTCAATCGAAGTCCGAACACCTGCTACAAGTATCATGTTTAGGGACAATTGGCATTCCAAAATTAGGGGCCCCTTTCACCTGCCAGACATAATACCTCAAGTCTCTTACAGTGACCGTCCGAGAGAGGCCCAGAAGGATAGTTGAGCAATGATTGTGTGGAAGCGAAACCCACGAATTTTCACGGCGGAAATAATTTGGGCTTTTGGGCTAAACCCGAAACCCTGGTAAACTCTAAACCCTCGTAAACGCTAAGCCCTGGAAAACCACCTGTGCGAACTCCAAGCCCCTAACTCTTCGTAAAGGCCAAGTAAGCTGAAACCCCGAAACTCGCTTTTTCCCAGCCTTGGAACCCATGCCATGGAAGCGGACCAGCCCGGCTAGCAAGACCTTGCCGTAGAACTGACAAGCTTGCGACGGGCTTTGGGTTTAGGGGTTGCAGGGTTTCGGTTTTACGCACTCAGAATTTCAGCATTTACTGTACGGCCTTGCAACTAAAATTTCAGAGGCTCGGCACCATGGAGCAAAACAGTTGGAGGTTTTCGCAAGGACTTTTTTGGGGCGCGAAAGGTCGGAGCTGTATGAACCCCTCGATGCGCTTTGACGGGGTCCGTTTATTCACTAATGCCGGCATCAGCACCGGCTGTTCAAGGATACAATGGGGGAATCAACCTTGAACTGTGGAAACTACCATATGATCCTTCCTGCAGCTGCTCTTACTCGTTCCTGTTCAGCGCATGATGCTCTTCTGATTTCGGAGATAGGGACTGCGCGATGAGTGGTAGAGGAATCTGAGCCCGCGACAAGCGTCCTGCAAAGGACCATCATCCCGTTTTGGCCAAGCAAAACTACTAAACAAATCTGCGGGCCGGTGGAGAAGTGCCGCCAACGAGGAGTTGCATAACTGTGAGAATGGCTGTCGCAGCGTGACAGTCACCTGCAACCTTTCAGGAGCAGTGGGCAAGACTGCAAATGCACTGGGGATTCCAGGTACGGTATTGTGCAGGAGACATAGCACTGGCTCCTCAAGAACGCAATGATTGGAGTTTGGAGTTCCACAACCTGCTTAACCAATCATCTGGGCTACTCACTTACTTCGCTCGAGATTTGGTGGGTGTGCTGCAGGTTGCTTCTGAATCTGATGCGTAGACATACTTTAGAGTCAACTTCGAGATCCCGGAATTCTGATTGCCTCCGGCACCTTCAAAGGCCGCGCTCCCGGCACTGTCACTGGCACCCGGCCCTGGTTCCGGAACCATGGAAGAGAGCTTTCGCATGGAAGACATGCGAGTCTTGCCCTTGAGACATCTTGAGACCAAGCTTTTGTTTGAGGACTCTCGCCGGTTGCCACACTGGCTATGCTGCCAGCAGCGTTAACTTCATTGGTTGGTTGCTGAGTGCACACGCCCATCTAATGGGCAGAACCTACAACTGGTGAAACGTGAGCTTTCAACACTCGCAACAGGCAGGCTTGCGAACAATAACTGAAATTCCGTCAGCTCATCTTGCTGGCATTCTGCCAACCGGTTGTCAAGGACAACCTCATCCTCATCTGGATCCGTGCTAGCCGCTAGCCGTGCCCACGTTAGCGTTAGCGATGTAGCTTTCTCCCGACCATCCGTCTTCATCGGCTCCGAGCTATGTGCCTGTGGTACAGTATCAACCGCCGTCATCATCAACCCAGCATGTGCGCATACCGTCGGCCCACATGCTGGAAATGTGCTTGCCGGTAGGACCGGATTGCTGAAATCCGTCAGCGGTGGATGGCGGCAGGCTCATGGAAGTATCATGTGGTGGGGCTGCCTGCGTATGGAGCGCCTGAATCCTTGACCCTGCGGCCACGGGCGGATTCATCGTCACATTCTGTGACCTCCGCTGGGACTCAATCCAACGATGCAAGCATTGGATAACCTCATGGGACGGAAGGGTGCCGAAGGGACCCCAAAGCGGAAGAAAGGAGAGGATTTGCCAGATGCGGAAGCAAGCGAGCCGCCAAAGAAAAAGGTGAGAGGCGATGAAAAGCCAAATGTGCCGAGGGGCCACTGCCACGGAAGGCTTATCCTTTGGTACTTGGAAGGCAGCAAAGGCCCGGAGAAGGAAAGCGGCACGGCCCAGGAGAAAGAGAGTGGCGAAGGCCCAGAGAAAGAGAAGATGCAGGAAAGAACTCCCGAGAAGTGGCAGGCAGTACGGAAAAGGCCACTACCACGGCGGCAGTTGGTGGCAGGACAAAGCTCCCGCATGCCTTTTCTGCGGGAAGAGCGGTCATAGGGCCGCAGCGTGTGAACTGATGTTCAATTCGGCCAGGGATAAGGATGCGAAAATCCATGACCAAAGTACTGCAAAAGATTGCAAATTGAACTCTTTTGCATAAGCTGTTACGACAGCAACGAGTTCAAGACGAAGTCCGGAAGGGATGTGACATTCCCCGGATGGGGAAATCATACAAGTGACCGCTGTCACTACAACACACAGCGGAAAGGAAGTGGAAAGTCTAAATGGTGGAAGCCAAGGACGAGAGATGCAGATGAAGATGTAAAGAAAATCGAGAAAAGGGTCCAACGATCCAGGAGATCAAGAGCGATGAAGAGAAGAAGAGAGAAGGAAAAGGCAGAAGGATCGAAGGATAAGGATGAAAAGGCAGAGGCCAAAGGGTCCAAGGAGAGAAGGAAAAGGAAAAGAAGGAGAAAGGTTCGAAAAGGAAGAAAGATAACAAGGATGATACGAAGGAAGTCCAAGAAGGCCAGCGAGGCCAGAAGAGATCCGGAAGCCGTCGGGAATGCGATGCACGGTTAATGTATTCGATCGGCAGCAACCTTTGCACAGCCACCCGAAGGGGTGATGAGTGAGCGTGGAGCGTCTCACGACAAATTCATTCGAGAGTTTCACTTGCCCGAGTTGTGTCAAAAGAGTGTTTAGTGTTTAAGTGTTTTAATGGCAGCGAGGGTATATGCGAGAAGTGAATGCCGTTAGAAATGACGCTTGTGAAAACGGAAGCAAGTTGCAAGTGCAGCTTCTGGAACAGCGTGGCAGAAGCAAAAGTGAAAGAGTGTCGCAAATGAAGTGATCGTGAACAGCTGAAGCTCGGAACGGTTACGCAATGGTTGACACCGGAGGACATGCTACTTTGTTCTACCGCGACCTCGCAAACTTCCAAAACAGCAAAGTTGCAAAAGACGAAGAGTGAATGATGAAGGAAGAAGAAGAAGACTAGACTTGAAGAGTCAAACGAATCGGGAATCGTGGAAGCGTCGAAGGACAACCACTATCCCTAGCAAGCTGCAAGCAGTGAATGATTGTTGAGGATCGAGCCAATTGCAACCGCCACTTGAATCGATGAGGGCGTAACAAACATTTCAGTTTCTAAATCTCGAAATCCAAGTCGCTCACCGCAGACCCAGTACTGTGCAGAGACGTGTATGTTCGGAAGGCTATAAACCGGTGGCCTGCGTCCGGAGCCCAACACCCAAAGCTTCCTTCGAAACTTCGCCAATACCCGAGAACCCCACAGTGCCATCGCTGAGTGGGTTCTTGTCAAGGGGCTTAATTTAAGGTACCATAATAGGGATCTATAGTAAAGAATAGGGTTTCTTTATTATGGTACCGGAAATCAAATCCCTTAACAACAACCCAGCTGAACCTCAAAGCCCGACTTGCGCTGGGTTGAAATCGCCATTTTCGGAGGCCCTACTGAAACTGAGCCGTGCAGATTCCGCTCAGTGCCGCAGGACGGAGAACGCATCAGGTTTTGGGGCCGTGTAATTTCTGGTGGAGGGGTAGTGGCGTTTCGGGATGCATGCAACCGTCACGCTTGCGCCGAGTTTGGATTGCCTGCCTTCTAGGGCATGAGCAGAACATGGCTGGAGACAGAACTTTGCCAGTCTAAGTCTACGGTTTCACACAGGCTACACTCATCTTCGATTGCAGGCTCGAGCACGTTGTTGAGGTGGGACGGACAAAAGCAAGAGTCCTGGCGTGCTTGTGATGTCGCAAGTTGCATGAACATGCCAATGCGAATGTCCAACACCCGCCGATTTCAATGAAGCGACACTGCGTCGCAAGTCTGCTCCTTCGCTTGAGGCCAGGCCAAGTTCAGGCCCTTCTGCTGTTTGCTGGGAGCGCTCCACATTTAGGCATCCATCGCGATGCCAAGAGTGCACAATGCAACAGTAAACACACTGCCATGCGGTGATGACAGGCGTCCGAAATCTGCAAGGCAACGAGCAGGGCTTGGCCTTTGGCACAAGACGTCTTCATGCATGACAATGATCTATAGACAAGTGTGAGACACAGATGCTGTCAGCGGGCAGGCCTTAGGACATGACAAAACCCAGCCTGAACCCAGCAGCAGGAGCTTGCGACAAAGTCTGTGGCTGCACCTGTACTGCAATCGCAAAACATGCGCTGAGCTTGCTGCCTCAAGCGATTGCAGGTGCGATTGGGGGTAATCGCAAGCCTGAGAGAACAGCAGTGGCATCATCGTTGATGCTAGCTGAATTGTTTGCTGGTCATGACTGACCCCCGGCACCTGGGCCGGTAATACACGTGTTCGATGTGGGGGGCGTGCTATACGAAATCAAGCTGGTCCGTGCAGCGGCAAGAACCTCTAGGAGCAGCGCTTAACTCTTTTTCTGGCGGCTCAGAGCGTGATCTCGACTTCTGCCTGAGACGATAGGCATGTACGATCGATGAAGCATAAATGCAGAAAGAAGCTGTCAGAACCCTTTGTCTGAGCCTTCGCCAACGGCTTTCCACAACGGGGCGGCAATGCGAGAAGTCAGAGTCCTGCCAAGCACCAAGACAGGCCATAGATAACTGCAGCCTTCCATCCTGTTGCAATGCAAGACATGCAAGACTTCAAGCAGCCGAACCGAAACGAAGAGATCGCAGGCAAAGCGCACATCGTGCTCTGAGATCCAAGTGCAAAGGTCCGGCCCCGAACTTACATTTTCTTGCCTCTGCGACATACTCTTGCCATAACCCTGACTCGCTGGATATGACAAGGCAGCGCATCCATACTGTTTCTGAGCTTGAGGTCATGGGGGCAGTGGAGGCCCCCTTGCGCCCGTGCACCGAGTGATGACCGTGTTGCATCTAGGGATCGGAAAGGCTTCGGAGCCTACCCGCGGAGGGATCCAAGGGGAAGAGTACTGGCCATGCTTGGCAGCCGCCACCAACCCTGGCCCTGTCGGGAAACCTGGCCCGGTACCGGCGCGAGCGATTGTGTTGGAAAGAGCCGCTTGAGCTGGAGAGGCATGGGAACTGGCATATGCAGTCTTGCCCTTGCGCCACATTGCTCGCGATTTTTTTTGCTAGGAAGGAGCAGGTGGCGGGCTTGCCTAGTGTCCTGTCCAGTACGGCTTCGAGAGCTTTGTCACGGATTAGGGTGCATCGGGTCTGCCTTGATGCGCAATGTTCGTGGAGCCGACCTATAGCTTTGCGCTTCAACCTCCGGGAAGAAGCAACCTGCTGGGGTCGCACAATACCCCACCACTCACTCACTCGCGCACTCCTTACAGTCCGAACACAAAGATACTGCGGACATCACCATGAACGCCAGCCTAGAGTGAGTTCTGGCCCTTACTCCCGGCCTTGCACCTCTGAGCCAACTCGCCACCCTGCTGCCGACCCACCTGGTCAGGTCTCTGATGGTCTGTATAGTCTCGGAGCTTCAGGATCCATGCTGCATTCCTCAAGTTTCGACTTGCTGCCCTGCGCTGTGAGAAGTCTACTAGCCAGAATTGCCGAGACCATTGCTCGCCCCGTGACGAAAGGTGTCGATGAGTCCGTAGCTAACGGCATGACATGCAACCGAACATCGAATTAGGCTT